CCAGCCCACTCCCTCTGTGTCCCCATAAGGCCTGTCTCTGGGCCAATCATAACAACAGTCCCATCTACAGCCTAAGGGGTCGTGACAGTTTGATTGCCCAATTTTACTGTCTTGCTTTCTTATTTAAGGGTTTGTGAGTAATGGAAGTTATAGAATATAAGTGTTTGGGCCATAAACGGAGCCATACTGCACAGAGGTGAAATGATAAAGCACTTCTGCAAAGCTGTGATGCTTCCCAAGCAGATGCCCTCAGCTGGGGCCTCTCTCAGCCCAGGTGTGTCCACAGGTAAGACAGGTCAGGCCTGGGGTCTTCCCTGGAACAATGCTCCCAGGAGGAACAGGTGGGGTAGCGAAGGTCCTCTGACCCCTTTGACTCCTGTGGTACCTTCTAAGGACAGGGCACTTTAGTTCTTCCTGGCACCAGTGACAAGTGACACCTTGCTAGGGTTCTGGGTTCTAAGTTCTGGGCACAGATCGTGCCTCCCTAAAGCCAGGGCCTTACCTGCACCATTCGCTCAAACATGTGTGCTAAAGGCAAATAGGAAATGTGCACATCCGCACAAGTGGGAGCCCACTGACTCTGTAAGAAAACAGAAGGAGCCCAGGCAAGGCCCGGTCAGTCAGGCGGGCGTCTTACCTGGATCACTCTCTCAAACATGTGAGCCAGAGGCAGGAAGGAGATGAGCACATCGTCCTGTCTCGGAAAGATCACTTTCTGCAGGTGATGGGCATGGGAGACAGAAAGGAAAGAAACACTGACAGGAAGACAACAAGAGAGTCATAAAACAATAAAGAGAAAATGGTCCTGGAGGGGCAAACAGGAAGAGGGGGAGGGGAGTGGGGGGGCACAGAGAAAGAGGTGAGATGAGAGGGGGAAAAACAAGTGAGAAAAAGAGAGGAGGAGGAGAGGGAGAGAGAAAAGGTGAAGAAATAAGAGAGGGAGAGAGGGAAAGAGAAAGTGGAAGAGAGCGAGGAGAGGGAGAGAGACAGGGCAGCATAGGAAGCGGAGTGTTAGGTCACAGCGCCAGTGGGTCTAGGTTATCTGCAGAAGCAAAGAGCCAAATGAAGCACACATAAACCAGCAGAGCCGAGCTCCGCAGGGAAGTCTCCTTTTGGGAAGGGCCTGCACCTCACTCGAGTAAGTCGGCGCCGGACAGGCCTCCCCCTCTCCCCACAGCTTCCAGGATCCGCTCCAGGCCCCATTTCACCAGTCTCCCTGGGCCACCTGGGCAGCCATTCAGAGGTCTTGGCTTGCCAGCACTTTCTAGTCATTCCAAAGAAAGGGGCTCAGAAAACTCTAGATCTACACCAACTGCAGCAGGGGTACATGCCCTGGACAAAGGAGGGGGCAAGGCCAAGCCCCAAACAGATGGCTGAGTCACAAGCCCTGGAGACAGGGCCTGAAGGGGAAGGCTGAGGGGGAGCCATGCTGTGTCCCCCAGCTTGTGACTCACAGATGGACTGACCTCAGAGACAGGGCTGGGCCAGGGGGTCTGCACAAGGCCTGAGCTCAGGGATGGGCCGTGCCTTCAGCTTTCCGTTGCTGGACTTCCCCGCTCTCTGTCCTTTTGCAGACACCTACATCCTCCTGGGTCAGCTTTCGGACAAGTTTGGACGAGATCTGGGAACCTGGCTCATGGCTCATGGCTCATGGCTCCTGACCAGGGCTCTACCAAATATCTATCTCTTTGGGGAATATGGTCCATAATGCCATCTGCTATGGATGTGGGTCATGGTTTTTCTCCACAGTGATGAAAAAGCCGAACTTACATGAAAAGGTACATTCCTTGCTCCTTAAGGAAACTGTAGGAGATTCGGATACTCTCTACTTGCCCGAAAAAGCTCCTTCTTTCTTAGCCAATTATAAAATGCTAACATGTTTTTCTCAGGCTGAGATAGCAAGCTTTTTAAATTTTGGATTTGCCTTTTTAAGTACAGCCTTATAAATTAGCAGTCGATGTTGCTTCTTGGACTCTAGGAGTCCTTCAACACAAAACGACTGAATTAAACCCTGGGCTACCTGAGAAACAACTATCTAAAGATTACTTTCTAAATAAAGGTACACACAACCACAGGCTTTTGAAGTTCAAAATGCAAAAACAGATTTATGTGTTTTACCTTCTGGGATCTTAGCACTCTTGGAAATCAACTGAGTATTTAGCAGGTGTGGATCATTTTGGTGTTTGGGGTTAAAAGCACCTGTAAAAGTGGGGTTGCTCTAATGAGAATAGAAACTCCTGCCTATGAAAGGCAGCCCAGATCACATTGGGCAGGGCTGTGGAGGCAGAAAACAACCCCCCGAAACCTCTGAGGTTTGAGGATGTCCTCAGGAGACGTCTGCATTCGTGAGTCTACTTTATTCACCTCTGTCACTTTCAGAAAGCCTGAGAAATCAGCCACCACGTTCCCATGGGTTAGCATTGCACCTTTTGGGTTCCCTGAAAAGAGAAAGCAAGAAGGCGAATTAGTTGGTAGCTCAAGGGCCACTCCTTAAGAACAGCATCCAAGCCGGCAGTCCCAGACACCCAGCGCTATCCTCCCAAGCCTCTGGCCTTTGTCCACAGCCACCCTCAGAGTCTTAGGCAAAGGAATGCTGCTTCGGGGACCTTTATCTTGTAGACACTTGAAGCCCACCTGGAGGCTCCCAGTAGCTCAGGACCAGAAGGCAAGTGACAGCTTTACTGGTGGCGTGCCTCAAGGGACTGGCTACTTGTGGCCTGAGCCTCACCCTCTCCTGCCTCCCTCAGGGAGCACAGGCTCTTGGCCCCTGGATTCCTCACATACACCCAGTTCCCTATGCTGCTCTCTGAGCTGGAGCAGATCTAATCTTGAGAAACCCGCAGCCAACTCTGCTGGCAGGAGACTTCCTTGCTGTGTCCAGTACCTGAAAAGGCCCAGGCTCAGGCCAGGCTGGAGGCCCAGAGGGCTGAAGCAGCCCTTCCTGCCTGCTCAGCAGCAGGGATAGGACATGGACGGTCTAGCTTTGTCATGGCATGACCTTTCACTGCTGCTTGTGAGGAAGCCCCAGGCTGCCAGGATGACTCAGAGGACCAGAGGCCTGGTGGGGACCCAGGGCACAGCAGGCTGGGGAGGGAGGCTGGCTTGGCCACCATTTCATGTCAGGGAGGACACACACTGATGTGCTGCTGGGTGGATGTGACTGAGCTCAAATCCTGGCCTTGCCTCTCACTGCCAGCAAGCCGTTCCTCCTCCCTTTCCTTACCTGGAAAACAGGGACAGTGATACCCACCTCACAGGGCTTCTCTATGCTCTAAGGACATAATCCATGCACAAGAGATGTTAAATTATAAGTTTCCACTGAGTCAGCAGATGCAATAGCTGTAAACTCCAAAGGAGTGGGGCCAGGCCATGTGCAGTTTGCCCCCAAAATATCAAGTAAACCAATGAGGTAACTTTGCAACCCTCACCCCAGAAAGCAGTAATCAAGGGCTGAGTGAGCAGAGATGAGAACATTACACTAAAGCAGCAAGCATCCATGAAACAAAGAGCAAGTTTTAAACGTCTGCCTCAAATTACCTTCCGGCTTCCCTCTGTCATTTACTTACTGTCCCTCCCACTTCCACCTGGTGGGGGAGGGGAGGGGCCTTCACCTGCAAGTGCGGAGGAGAAGCGAGGGACAGGAGAGAGGAGGGGGGCACGCCTTCCCCACCAAGCCAGCAGCCAGCCCAGCTGGCAGGGGAGAAGTCGCAGGGAAGCAGATTGATTCATACTTTGGATCAACACTTGTAATTCTGAATTAAATCCCATCACCACTGAGAAGGAAAATCTTGCCCGGATGATTCCACCACCAGAATCATGAGCCACGTGTCAGGTTCACATCATATTTTCTATCTTTCCCCACTGAAAGAACAACATAGGTGTCTATGAAGCTGAGAAGTGGGACGCTCAGCGTGGAAGGGAAGCTACATCAGGGGCTATGCTGCTAAGGACACGCATGGCTCATGTGCTTGACAGGAAGATGACGACCAGAGGCACAGCACAGGCTTAGACTAACGCCAAGGAGGCCAAGTGTGCAGCCAGGCAGGGTGACATCAGGCAAGAGGCCTGCTCACTGCCCAGCTCTGCCCTGGCACCAGCCACATCCCTGGAGTGGGACGCATGACATTAAACACCACCTGTTTTCAAGCTCTGTATATCCCTCCCCCACATCCCACACCCCAACTGCAGGCACAGAGCCTGGCTGGGCAGGATGGTTCAGCTTTCGATTGACTCCACAGCCTAGGAAAGCACTGGATGTGGGGCCTGCCCTCTCCAGCTGGGCCACAGCACATTTATGCATCATAAGTTCTTTCCCTGATACGGGGGCAGCATCTGTGACCAAGTGACCTATTAAAAGCCTGAGGGCACTCTTGGATGGCAAGGGTACAAAGCTAAAGGCCACAGTAGTGACCTGCCCCCAACCCAGGGCAGAGGGATGTGTCACCAAAATTTCACACTGTGAAACTCATGACACAAAGCAACATGAACCTGAAGGGCATTTCTGAATCCTGGGTTGGCTGTCAGCTCCTGGTTAGCGAGTGCTGTGTTACTTTTTCTCTAACAGGGTTTAGCAGTGTGCTGGAGATTCTCAAACCCACTTGAGTTAATGGTAAATATCCATCTCGAGCCCTGGCTGGTATGGCTCAGTTGGTTGAGTCTCATCCCGTGCACTGAAAGGTCGCTGGTTCAATTCCTGATCAGGGCACATGCTAAGGTTGCATGTTTGATCCCTGGTCAGGGTATGTAGGGGAGGCAACCGACCAGTGTTTCTCCCTCTCCCTCTCCCTTCCTCTCTCTGCAAAATCAATCAGAAACATATTTTAAAAAAATCCATCTCGATTCATGTTGCTCACAATCCACCCACATGGACAGTCCCTCCTGTGGGGCTGGTCAAGGATCTGCCAGATGCCTCAGGGTACGTGTCTGTAGCAGGCATGGGGAGCTCGAAGTCACTGCCCACCAAGAGCTATCAACAAGGTGGGCCAGCCTTCAATCTGGAGAAAGATGGCTGGAAACTTCTTGCCCACTTGGGGCAGGGCAAGTGACTTCTCCAGTGGTCAGATGAGATGGAGAGGCAGCAATGGGGAGAACACAGGGCTGGGAGCTGGCAGAGCAGGGCACAAGTCCAATACTTCCATTTGCTGGCGGAGTCCACTGGGACTGTCCTCATACCTGCTCACCTCACAGGCTGTACAGAGGTGCAAGTGGCACGGCAAGAGGGCGAACAGGGCACTGCAGGCTGCGATGTGCTGTGCCTGTGCGCATTCTGTCTCCCCCAGGAAGCCGTCCCTGTCTGTTCCTGCTGATGCTGTCAGCACCAGGCATGCAGTGCATCGTCTCCGCTTGTCCCCTTCCTGTCAGCCTTGACCATGGCACGCCAGCTCCAGCCTGCGAGCATCTGCACAGCCCTTTCATATACCTTCCCGTCTTCTACTTGGCACCTTTAAGCACCCTCATCACAGATGAGAATCGGGGACAGTGGTGGCAGAAGAGATAAGTGACTGGCTTCTAGCTCCCTGGAAAGTGGCTCTCAGACACCACACCCCACACTCCTGCAGTCCCTGACACAGAGACCAGGCAAGGGCAGGAAGCTGAAGGGTGAGAGCTGCTTCTTATGGAGAAATGACGTGACCCAGTGGCCCAGCCCTCCTCTGGCTCCGGCTCCGGGAGGTGGCAGGCCCCCACCCTGGAACTCCCAGTCCACACCTGCCCATCTGCGTCCAGCCACCCTGTGCTGCCCTGTCTGGGCCAGTGTATGAGAAAACACTGGGATAGCAGGAGGGACCCAACATCCGGAGTCAGGCAAAGGACAAGGCTCAGCCCATGCCCGAGGGCACTAAGATTCCTGAGTCACCCTGACAAGGCTGCCAGGGAAGGGCGCAGGTGGTGCTGGCTGGCGACCTGAGTGCCTTTGCTTACCTGTTGTGCCACTTGTGAAACACACAATGGAGAGGTCACTGGGCTTTGGGGGCTGCAGACGTGAGAAGAGGCATGTGTTAAAGAGACCCAGTGTGACCAACCAGGGACTAAGACCCCTGGGCCCCTCCACCAGCCAGCCCTTCTGTGCACTCCCCCTGTGTGTGCTGTATGTGTCAGCACATATGTGTGCCCGTGTGCTGCAGTCAGAAAGGTGGGCAGGCAAGTTCCCGGGAAAGGGGAAAAGGAGCTGGGGCATGGATATCAACCTGTCCCACTAACCTCACACTCAGTCCTGCTCCCCCCCCCCCAAGTCTGAGCTGAATACTAGGTGGGATGGGGCTGCAGTGGACACATCTAGGCCTCGACCAAAGATCTGACCATTCTAGTGGATGTGACCCAGTTCCCTCTCTTCCTTCCCACTTTCTCCCCAATGGTTGCGGTTGAGCTTGGGAACAGAATGTGTAGTCCAAGGACTGAGCTGCCCACTGTGTTGCCAAGTCTGCTCTGCATCAGGCCCTTAGCCTGGCACTGGGCACAGAGTCTGGGGGTCACTGGGAAGAGCCCACCAAGACTGCTTGCACATAGAGGGTAGCTTCCCAGAGGAGGTGACATGAGCGGAGATGGAAGGACAAGCAAGATCTCTCCAGATGAAGTGAGGGTGAGGAACTAGCCCAAACACAGGCAGCGGCACAAGAGGTCACAGCATGCTGTTCTTAGAGGTTGGGGCACGATGTGTTCGAGATGGGCACATACCAGGGACTACCTGTGAAGGGCCTGGGAAACAGGGCTGTGACCTGCTCAGGCCCATGTATGAGAAAGCTCATGGGCATAGGGAGGGGAGTGGGAGGGCTAAGTTGGAGGGTCGGCTGGAGGCAAGAGGCCTTGTTAGAAAGCTGAAAACCCCTGAATGGCCCCTCCCAGGGAGTAGCAAGCACTAGTGACTTGACCCTAGGCAATATCACTGAGGATGACACACAGAAAAGATGAACGAAGACAGCAGAGGCCATGGGGCTACTCAGCCCTGGGGTCCACTACTGGTTCTGTTGCTGCTTCTGTCCATCCCATCCTCTGGGGAGTTCACTACATTCAAAGAGAAAAGGAAGACTCCCAAACAAAAAGTTCCTGGAGAACCAAGGGTGACCAGGATTGGCTGCCCTTTTTTCTTCCTCCCAAACATCTGACTTCTGCTCCAGGTCCCTCCCTGGACCTTCACCCACAGAAGTCCTGGGCACCCTGTGCAGGTATTTCCTGAGTTGCTCAAAGGAGCTGCTTATTACCACGGGGTTGTTGCTCTGGCCTGTCTGCTGAGCCCCAGTGCACAGTGAGAGGCTCTGAGAGCACAGGCCCTGCACACCATCCACTCAACAAAGACCTGTTGGCAGGTGAGCTCACCACAGGAACATGAAGATCCTGCTGGCCGCAGTCCTAGAAGAGGAAAATACTGATTTTAAGTGATCAAAAGTTCTCATCAATAAAAAAAAAAAAATCAAAATAAACTCTGCACAGTATGCCTTGTTCCTGCGCCAAGCCCAGAGTTCAGGATTCTCTGCCCAGATGTGGCCCATGTCACCATCTCAGTGGCCTTTCCTCAGATACATATCCAGGCCTAGGCCACCCCCCTACCTTACAGAGGAGGCCTGAGGCCCAGGGCAAGGCCAGGCACTGTGCACATGCACAGTGGGATAGACAGCTTGAGGTGCCTGTGGTACATCTGGACACATGCTTAGGAGAGAGTGGCTGGGTGGCCTGGCCTTCAATATTAGTCAGGCCTGGAGGGGCGGATAGGGGTTGCCACCATAGGTATGGCCCCTAAAACCAAGGAAGGGTGCAAGTGTACAGGCATTATAGGTACAGTTAGGAGCAGACAGGGAGGCAGGAGAGGAGCTGGAGGGCCTAGGGGCCTAGATCCCATGGGGCAGAATTGGGGTCAGCTGCCAATGGGCAGGACCTGAGGCCCTGGGGGCCAGGATGTCGTGTTACTCCAGCAGACACCAGCTGCCACCAGCCTAACATCTTTGGGGAGGCCATGCACAGAAAAATTGGTTCTGCTGGCTGCTAGGGGTCTGGGACACATTTGCAAGAACCTCTCCGTGACTCTCAGACCTCATGTCTACAGTCTTTAGGCTCAGACAGGCTTATGGTTAGCTGGAAATGAGAGGCAGCCCTGGACAGGCTGACACCACCCCTCATGTGTTGGCACAGGTGTCATTAGCTGTGCTAGCTAACTGGGCCTGCCACCCAGAGGATGCCTGTGGGCACCGACCTCACCAACCACCACCAGCCCTGTGAAGCTTGCTGTCTCAGCCCTCAAATGGCCTGACCACCCACGACATCCACCCAAGGTCATGGGAAGGGCAGATAACCCACAACTCTTACTCGGGGGGCAAGCAGCTGTGGCCCAGCAAACAGCCCAGACAGAAGCAGCCCCTCACCTCCACAGCCTGCATGGACTTAATGACCACTCCACACTCTTGGCCTCTGTCTTTCAGAGTTTCCTCAAATGGTTCCATGAGGATGATCAGCTTGAGTCCTGGAGTCTCCTTCCGCTCTACGTGCTCCAGCAGAAGCTGGGCCTTCCGAGGTTTGTCCACAATCACAGTGCTGATGTCAGCTGCAGGAACCATCAAGGAGTGTCAGGCTGTGACTGTGGGCAGCACATGCTGGGCAGCAGAACCATGGGCTGTGTGTGCCACAGCTGGTGTGTAAGTAAATAGGTAAGACAGGCCCTCTGGGTTATGCGTTGTATATAGAGAAAAGTGTATAGGGGCTGGATGGAGCCAAGGGCAGAAGGCATGGCATCTCCTGGGGCAGTTTCCAAGCATCCCTTTGCTGAGGACTAAGCTCCTATCATCCCAGGTGACCTTGAGATATTTACCATCACTAGCATCTGCCCCAAGCTGTGTGAGGGTGGGCAGCCCCGGGGGGCTGGTGCAGAGGCTCCTTCTTGGCAGCCAGACCATGTGGAAGGAGTCTAACTGGAGACAGGTGGACTTAGGAAGCCACCTCAGGGACCAAAGTGGAAGCCCCTAGTGTTCTCTGAGAGTGCAAGCAACATGCTTCTGATTAGTGTTAGACAACTGGCATAGCCTTAGAGGCTGTGGCCAGGGGCTGGCTGCCAGTGGCAGGGAGGGGGCAGTGGGTGGGCTCACCTGTGTTGATGATGTAGCGGATAGTCCCAGGGCCCAGGGTGTCATAGAGCGGAACCACGACCATAGAATAAGTGTAGCAGGCAAGCTCCGCAATGATCCACTGTGGAGACATGTGGGTCAGGGGTGGGGGAACACAGAGCAGAAAAGAGGGCTGTACTGCCCTGAAGCCCCGGCAACCAGGGTTCTTGCTCTAGATCCTGTGATAGAGTGTTCCCTTCTGGCCTCTGCATGTGACAAGGAATCTTTGAGGCTAATGGGTTGTTCCTGCTCATGCACAGCCTTCTAGACCATGCTTGCCCCAGGGAATTCTGGGAATCCAATCTCCAGGGATGGCATGGGCTTCTTCCCCAGGTGGTTCCTTCCCCCGGCTCAGGGAGCAGCTGTGTGTTGGACTGGGTGGGATATGAATGGAGCTTGGTGGGGAAGTCCATTCCCGATTAGGGGCAAAGCCAAGGGAGCAGGAGGGTGTAGCATGGATGAAGGATCTCCATTTTCTCTCCTGTCCCAGGCCCTACAAACAGTGGGAGCAGGGATGTTCTATGGTACCCAAACCCCTATTCCACTGATACTTCTAAAACCAGTCAAGGCAGATACTCACCTCTGGTCGATTTTGTGCAAAAATACCAATAAACTGATCTGTGCTTGCTTTACAATTGTGCTGGAGGAGTCCGGACCCCAGAAATTCAGCCCTGTCAGCCACCTGCACATGGGTATGGGGAAGTGACAGGAAAGCAGGGGAGGGACACCCCCAGGCGGCACTCCTACGGGTCTGAGAGACCTCCCCAACTCCCCACCCTGGTGTCTGGCAGCCATGTGAGGCTACTGCCGGGAGTTTGGCAGACAGGCCAGACAAGGAAAATATGACCCTCTGAGACCCAGCAGGGTGCCCACAAGCCCCCCAAGTGCCAGGCCTGCAAGGGCAGACAGAGTGGAGCCTGTCCTCTATCACTCACCTCCTGGTAGGACAGCCACTGATAAGGCTGATTGGGCTTCCTAAAACCAAGGCACGGTCCATTTCCTACAGAGAGATAAACAGGTCTTGTGCAAAGGAGGAGGGCAGGGTAGAGGTGCTAGCAGACACCCGGATGGACACCCCATATTGTGGGGTGATCCATGGGCCAAGTGAACTCCCTCCCCTACCCCGCCCCCGCAGCTGCCTATCTGACCTCTGACCTGCTGAAGCCCCAGGAGGCCTAAAGTACACAAGCATGGCACTGCCCCAGGGATCAGGGTGGTCCAGGAACGGGGGCTAGTGCAGTGCTGTTTCCCACCATGACCTGTGTGATGTGGCCTCAAGAGAGCATGGAGAGCTGGGGCCAGAGGTGGTAGTTTGCCTCTCTGCAACCACCTCCCTCTACCTCATACCCTGGGTCATCCAGACATCGTAGAGGCTCAGGGTCAGAATCATGCCAGCCAGTGGCCTGGTGGTTCAAGGCTCACCAGAGGCTACCAATGGAAGATACAGAGTTGGGCTAAGAGGCAGCTTAAGGTTAATTAGTCCTAGGGCTGGAACAAAGCTGAGGTCATTTCCTTTGGCCACATAATGCAGTTACTTCTCTGACTGGATGGGCAGAGGGCCGAGAGTGGCTTCTTTCCTCTGAACCCGGGCACCATTCAGCTGTCATGCCGCTGGTACCATGCTGGTTCACCCCCACCCTTGAACCTGCTCAACCCCTGCCAAAGCTCCTCCACAGCACCATGGTCCCTCTTACCTGAGATGCTAAGTCCACGAAGGAACACTTGGTACATGGTCCTGGCATCATCGTAGTAGTGGGTGAGCAGCTGAGGGCCATCTCCAATCACTGATCGCCGGGCACCACCACTGTCCTACAAGACAAGCACAGGCAAGAGAAGCTGGCTAAGGCAGGCAGTGGCTTGAGAAGGGCACCAGCATGCACCAGGCTGTACATAGCTTGAATACACACCCCAGTTGGAGCTGGGACATGCTCTCTGTGCACTCACACACATGGCCTATACACACCTGGACTGTACACACACAATGTGGCTTGTACACACTTGACCTGTATGTACCCATGCACAAACAAAGTTGGCTCATTCACACAGGCCCAGTACACTGGTCTCCCACACACACACAGAACCCACACACCAGGTCAGCATATACAAAATGTTCCGAGTTTCACTGGCTGTTCATACCACCTGTTTCACTCATACAGTGGAGCTGAGAGTGTTGGCTAGAGTTAGGCTAGCCCTGGCTTCATGATCAACCTGCCTAGGTGTCCCCCTCATCCCATCATCTGCTGCTGCTACACCCTTAGGTTAAGGATTATTTGGGTGCCATCCATCATCCACATAATAGTGTGAATTTTCTGAGGACTAGCTGAAGGTACTTGCCCAGGAACAGAGAGGCCCAGAAGGCTGTGGAGGGCACAGAGCAGTGAGCTCCTGCGCCCTCAGTGGTGTGGATCCAGAGTGGGAAGGCAGCAAACACCACCTGTGCCATGAACTAGGGAGAGGAGCTGGGGCTCTTGCACCTCCTCTCCTGTCACCCTGGCACCTCTCCTCAGGCTCCCCAAACCCAGAACTCTCCAGTACCACAGTTATACCTCTTCTCTGAGCATGATTTGGGCTGTTTTGAGCTGGCCCAGGGCCAGCCATCTCTTGAAACATCAGATCTGAGGAAAAATGTCTGAGAGCCATAAAACAGCCAAACTCAAAACCACAGGCAGCTTTCAACTGTTTTGTAATGGAAAATTCTGTTTGGTCAGTGAATGCTTCCTGAACACCAGGCCCACCAATAAGGGAAGCTGGGGACATATACCTTCAGACCTGGATAGCATTCAGGGTAACAAAAATGATAAAACAAGAGAGTGTGCCAGGGACAGAAGGGGTTCAGGTGGCGTGTGTGTCAGGGAGTGGCTACTGAGCTGGGTTTTGAAGGATACATAAAAGGCAGAAAGACAAGCAGGAAATGGTGGTCTTGCCAGAGCAAGAGCAAGTGCACATGCATGGGGCAGGAGACACAAGTGCATTCAGGAAACTGGACAATTCACGGAGCTCCAAGTGGTAAATGGAGGCCAGAGAGCCCCAGGTCAAAGCAAGGAGTCTGGACTTAAGGTTGAGGGCAATGGGGAACCAGGGGAGGATTCTAAGCTGGGGTGAGTGACATGACCCAAATTATGTTTCTCACTCTGTAGCATACAATAAATACTGCCAGGCCCTATATGATCTGGGCCCCCCTCACCTCATTTCCTACTCTCTCCTCTGCCTACTCCACAGCAGCCACTCTGGCTTTCTGTGCTCCTGGGTGAGAGGCAAGGGAGGACTCAATCTTCCGGGGAGGGAGACCTGAGCTGTGTCCTTGGCCTGTCCTCCCAGCCATACCCACAAGTTGCCTTTGTGGCCCCCACACACTGAACCAGGGTCATTCCCCATCCAGACTGTATCCAGAGCACTGTCACCTGGAGCCCAGACACACCACTTTCCTCCTCATACCTGCCTGTGCCGCAGTCACCCTTCTACAACACAAATAGGCTCTGCTCCCACTACTGAAGACCCAGAATAGATCCATGCTGCCCCACCCCCAGGGCTACTTGCCCAGTTCATGTGACTTTGGCCTTGTTGACCTGTCCAGGTGAGTTGTCATTATAAGCTTACCCAAAACAACTAACTTTAGTGCTTTCTCTGTATCATCTCAGTGAATCCTACCACAGCCTTAGGAAGCAGTATTCTTTTTATTACTCACTTGACTGTTGAGGAAATTGAGGCTCAGAGAGTTAGGAAACTGCCAATGGCCATATAGCTAGTGAAAGGCACAGTCAGCCTTCAAATCCAAGGTCACCAAAGACCATTCTCGTCACCACTCTGCTAGCCCATCTGCAGCCTCTCTCCACTGCCTGGCCACCCCACACGAACCACCACTTCCCAAAGCCCCCAGGTGCATTATCACACAACTGTACCTTTCACACATCATTCTTGTGCTGGAAAAATGCCCCAAAGGACGCGGCCCTATCTCCACCCTCTCCCACCAGGCAAAACTCTGCCATGCTTATGCTCACCAAGATGCACCATCAAGAGAAAAAAGCCAGTGTACGCAGCATGGTATCATTAAAAAGGGAGTGGATAGCTCTACATTCTCTCATGGACAATTGTTAACATGGTTCTCAGGAGAGGAGAACCGGGAGGCTAGGGGAAGATGTGGAAGCTTCTCAGTTTGAGTCCCTTTGTTCCTCTTGAACTGTGTGACTATCTTATCTATTCAAAATGAATAGAATTGAAGTTCAGAAAAAGGCAATTCTTTAAAAGGCAAAATAAATTCCATAAGCTTAATAGAAAAATAAATATCACTGGTCCTTCTAGACTTAGCTTAGAATACCCTCCATCCAGGCTGGGGCACTGCACCTTCTTCCTCTCGTGTGACCTGGGAGGGCAGGGTGCTGGGGTGGGCTCAGCTCTGGGTCCTAGCAGCAGACCAGGGCTGGGCATTGGGAGAATCTGGAAGGGAATTGACCTGGCAGCCCCTTGAGAACCTGCATAGGCCTCTTACTGAGGCACCAATGAGCCAAGGCTCTCGCGCAAGAAGCAGGCAAACTAGAAGCCCAGGTCAAGGCCAAGGTCAGGCTCTGCCCAGGGCTCAGTTTCTGGGAGAGGCAGAGGAGCATCTGGTCAGGCCCTGCCCAAGGCCAATGGGGCTTGTTGGCTGGCTGCCAGGGGAAACCAAGATTCTCTGGGCTATCTCAGGTCAAATAAGCCACAATTTTGGCTTCTACCTTTGAGATGCCTGTCCTCTGCCCACTACTTTCCATAGCTCGACTGCTGGGACCCTGCTCACCTCCACTTCCTCTGACTGCATCAGGAGGTTGCACGGTGGTTGCAAGGCCTTTGGCCGGTGAGTGAACCAGTAGGCGAGGATGGCGGCCAACGCACCCATACTCATGAGGGTGGTGGCTGAAAGACTGCGGAAGAACTGACCCACGTCGCCCAGCTCGGGCAGCCGCAGCATCCTCAGAATCTCCTGTGTCTGCATCTTTTCCAGAAGCGAGAGAATGAACTCTGCAGGAAACAAGAGGCAGGTGAGGGAGGAGACCTGATAGCACGCGAGGGAGGAGTGCTGGGTGTGTCCTCCCACCTGCCCTGGATCACAAGTGACACAATGACCTTGGCCAAATACACTGTAGGGCAAGCCCTGGGCTAGTGGGGTCTACAGTCTCCTGGTGTAATGCAGTGTATCCCAGAAGCTGGCTCCCTGGAAGGCGACAAGCCAGAACCCTTAGCAGTCACACCTGACAGTCAACCATCCAGCCAGTTTTCCTGAGAACCACACGCACCTGCACCAATGCCCTGCTCAGGCCCTGCACCATGGTTGGCAGCTGCTTCCATATCTTCCAGGGGCTCTGAGAGCTCTGGAATCAATTCCTCTTGAGCCCAAGGGCCCAGGTGCTCTACCTCTGTTGGGTGGTCATAGCGTTTTGCTTATCTTTGCTCCTGGACTGTGGAGAGGACATATGGCTGTGAGCATGCCTTGCATAGTGCCCAGATTGAGTGGGGGTAAAGAGGTGCACACTCCTCCCACTCCATCTCAAAGCTCCTAGCCCCAGGCCCTGACCCTGAGGAAGACAGAGAAGACAAGGGGTCGGAGCCCACAAACCAGCCCTGGCAGACACCTATCTGCCAAGGGTCCTGTGGGATACACAACAGGGTCTCCCCAGGCCCATCCTGGCCCACCATGGGCTCCCCTTGAAGAAAAGTTGGAGCCAAAGGCCTATCAGGGCCAGAGGTGATGCTGGCACTCACTTTCTGAAGAAGAGCAGACTTCCCATGAGCAGCTGGGTGGGGCCCAGAAACACTGCTCTGCTAGCCTCAGACTGCTGACCACTGTGCACTGTGGCTCTGCACCATCATAGACCAAGCACCAGGGGGCACAACTGTCCTCACCTGTGCTGTCCTCCCTGAGATCCCATCAGCTAATGTCCAGAGGAAACAGAAGGTGGCAGAGAGAAGCAGATGCTAAACTGATGGAAGGGAAAGGAATCAAGGCGCAGAGAGAAAGGTCTCAGCAAAATGCCCGTGTACTCCTAGGGTAATCTGCATCTCCTGGGACATTGCATATGGTGGTCAGGAGTGCCATACTCGTCCACTGCAGTCCAAGTGGACACAGTGGGCCTATCAGGAAGATTGGAGGATGCCCTGGGTTGGGCAGTGGGAGCACTTCTGTGAGAAACACTGGTGACTGACTTTGGTTCAAAGAGAGCAGGCCCAGGGGCTACCACACGCTCCTCTTAGCTGATAAGTCAAGCAGTGTTAGCAGGGCAGACATACGGCCAGCTGGGCTGAGGGGTCTTCACTTTGTCCCGGACAGAGGAAGGCAGCCAGGGAGGGCCAGGCATTAAATGCTTTTATCCCCATTGGGGCCTCCTTGATGTGACTGCCCAGTAGGACCTGAGGTTAAAAGCGTTGCATGACATCTACAGGTCTGCCAGCCCTGTGAGGCTGGGGAGCAGGGGGCTCCAGGCTGCCATGCACCATCCACATGCACCCTCCTCATTCGACCTTTGGAAGCATGGCTGTGGTTTCCTTCTTGGGGAACAATAAGAAACCCAACAGCAGCCACTCTGCAGCCATGGGATATGAGCCAAACAGCAACTGCTTGACCCGCAAGAGAACAGAGATCTGCTGAATGCCAATAAATGGTATTTGTGCTAAATGGTAATATCACCACAGCAGAGATGAAGTCAGTGATGTGCAAAGTCATTGCAGAGAAAGCACGTAAAGTTCCTCAGTTCAATTCTCTTCTCCTTCACTTAGAAGCTACAAGAGATTGAGCATATCCCACCTCTCTGGACCTCCACTTCCCCTTCTTTAAAATGAGGTAGGACCACTCAGGCATGTCAAGTTCCTTGTACTGTATCAGGCATAGTTAGAGGGATGACGGGACTAAAGAGATGTCTAAGGGAGTGCTTGTCAGACCAAGGAGGCTGCTCAGCCCAGGCTGATCCAAACACTGGGCAGAGGTGGCTGGGCCCAGGCACAGTGGGCCATGGGATTTTATGCTCTACAGATGGCACAACAGGCTGCCTGAGTCCTGGGAACACTCTTCCACAGCCCAGAGGCTCTGGGTGCTCCCTGAGAGCAAAGAAAATGAGCCCCCAGCCAGCCAGAGCATTCTCTCTGAATTCCTGAGCCAGAAATCCAGTTTCACCAGTAGCCTCTTTGACCTGGATTAGTTCTGAGGCCATCCCACAGGAATAAACCACTCCTGGCATATGATCGAATTAAGGTTCTTCAGCAAAGCAGAAGCTCAGCTATGGACCATGGCAAATTCATCAAGGAAAACCACTCTGCAGAAGGTCCTGGCCAGTTGGGACATTTATTTCCCTAAGCTGCAGATGAGGAAACCAAGCCACAGCTAGGCCCATCAGATAAATGACTTACTATATAGTGATAACCCAGATATGCCACAAGCACTTGGGTTGGGTCTTGAGCTGACTGACATTTTATCTAACGGGCGGAACCAACTCAATGGGCTGGGAAGCCAAGGCCCAAGAAGTCCCTGCCAAGACCCTAAAAGCTCAGCTATATGGTCCCAAAAGTTTAGAGAAAATCCTGGAACCTCTCTATCACTAGTCCCTGATCCTTGGCAATTGCTCGTGGGCCCTAAGCTGTAGCAGAACATGGGCACTTGTGACATTTACTGCGATACTGGTGTTTTCACAGAGCATAGCCCAGAATGGCCAAAGCCATCTATCTACCCCTTGTCCATCCATCCACCCATCCATCTACTCACTCACCCATCCACCCACCCATCCAGTCATCCACCTACCCATTCACCCATTCATCTACTCACCTATCCATCCACCCATCCATCTCCCCACCCACCCATCCACTCATCCACCTACCTACTTACCTACACATCCACCCACCCACTCACTCACGCACCCACTCACCCACCCATGCATTCACCTAGAGGTCCTTGCTCTCAACTGGCTCAATGTTAGGCACAAGGATAAGCCAGATGTGAGCCTGCCCTCAGTCCCATGGGGAAGACACTTGAGGAAGTGGGTGGCGCTGTGCAGTGTGGTTTGGGCTGGGATCGGGCATAGGGAGCCAGAGGAAGTGCCGGACTCAGGAGTGAAGACTCAGGGTAGGTTTCTGGCAGAGACCGAAGGATCAAAAGGAAAGGGTGTCCCAAGCAGAAGGAAGCAAATATATATACAAAGGCTGGAGTTGAGAGAGATCATTGAACACTTAGCAAACTGAGTATTCTCTCTAGGAAAAAGACTTGAGCACATGAAATCTTATACAAGGGTCAGTGCCACAAGTCTGAGGATGGTCTCCCAGATGTACCGAGATTTCAGAAGTCACCAAACTGTCACATTCAGCTTCTTGAATTCCTGGGGCCTGGGAAGCCCTTGCCTACACACTGTGCTGTTGGATCTTCTCAACAGTTCCCTGGATTTATTATAATGTGGGGAACACAGAGACCCCACTGAAAAAATTACCTGTGATTTACAAGTCAACAAATGAGGGAGCCAGGACTCGAGGTCCAGATTCAGCCTCCCAAACCACTGTCTTTCGCTGTACTGCAGCCCACCCCTGCTAACACTGCACCGCCCCTACCCACAACCCCTGTTCTCCTTTGCAGTAGTGCCGAGCCAGCAAAAAAGCAGCTCCAGTTCTGCTCAGAAGAGCTCAGGCCCAGGTTGTAGGGGTTAGGGGGCCGCGCTGGGCCACCAGAGCCGGTCAGGCCAGTCACTGTTCTTTGCCATGCACACTCTATGGGTGGGTTCCCTCCTGGCCTCACATCAAAAACTTTCCATCTTCTCATGGATGGGTCCTTCTCCTCCAGGAAGCCCACTCACCTGGGGTGATGGAAGGTGGTGGGAAAGGGCTTGGCCACCCACTCCCTCCAGGCTCTTACTTAGTCCCCACCACTAAGGTGATCTCTGAATGGCTGCAGCTCCTCTGCCCTGAGGCTGGGCCTGTAGCCCTCCTCAGCTAGGCAGTGACCAGAGGGTGTCATTCTTCCAGGCTCACTGGCCTTCTCAGGCAGAGTCGGGACTGCTTGCATTTACCCTGAGATTCCCTTCAGACCTGGGAGCTATTGTAGGGCAGAGCTAAAAATTCAGGTCCTCTGAGGACATGGGCCTCAGAGCCAGCCTGAGCCACCAAGCCCTTGGCAAGGGGCAGGGCAAAGCCTAGGCCTGGGAGTCTGGTCTCATCTCATTATTTCACAGGGCCTTGGCCTCCTCTGACCTCCAAGCCCTCTCTGTTGACTTGAGTGGAGCTTGGTGGTCCCTGGGGTCCCAGCCACAGCTGCCTCCTTTCATGCCCAGGAGGCGATTCCTGGTTGCAGCAGCCTGCGGCACAGGGCGGGGTAGGGGGCACCCAAGGGACCCTCAGCAGTGCTGGTGTTGCCAAGTGAGCAGCTATGTTTGTAAATATTCACCTGGCAGGGGGATCCAGCACTAGGTAGGAACTTGTCCAAAATACCAAGTGGTGTCACAGGCTGGGGGTGGCTGGGACTCTCCCACCTCACCATGTCCCCTGCTGATTCAGGGCACATGGAAGGTAGGTGGTGAGAGTTATAGCTCTCAAAATCCAGGGAGGGAAGGAATGGGAAGAAGGAGGCCCTGGCGGGAAGCATGGTGCTCAAAGGTGGCAGAGTGACAGGCAAAGCCCCACTCAGAGCACAGTCCCTGTGGAGATGGCCCTGGGCCCATGGCTGGGCTTCAAGAACCCTCTGCTGGTCTAGCCTCCTAGGCCCAACACTCTGGGCCAGGGGTGAGGAACCTTTTTTCTGCCAAGGGCTATTTGGATATTTATAACGTCATTCGTGGGCCATACAAAATTATCAACTTAAAAATTATCAACTTAAAAATTAGATTTATTGAATTTCAAGTCCCACCTGCGGTTTCCTTGGCAGGGCTAGACCAAATGATTTCGGCCCGTGCACCAGACGTTCCCAACCCCCGCCCTAGAACTTCACAATATATCTCAGTGGCTCCACCAGCACTACCTCCTAAACATCTCTCAAAACTGACCATCCTCTCTAC